ATGCAGTGCTAAGAGAGTGAAGAGAATTACTTGCTAAGTGGTTTGCCAAAGGCTTCTAGGGAATCAGTAGCAGTGATGTTGAACCCTGCGACTCACTTTTCACATTCCCCACTCCAGTTCCTTTCCTACTCTGATGCACCATACAATGATATGGCTTCTCAAGAACATTGAAACATCTGGTCTATCTGATTTCTTAAACACTGATGTCACACGCAAGCTCTTTAGGAGATGCTAAGAATACCCTGCCCTTTGCAGAATGTTCTGAACCTCCCCACATTACCACATCCCATGAGAAGCACTTATCTGTGCTCGGTTCTGCCTATCAATTTCCCTTTCCCTCTGCAGTCTCCACAGAATTGCCGGTTTATATTTATTATATCTAGCTATGCTTACTTATCTGAGTATTGAGTTATCTCTATATGTTAAATCTGGCACATTGCCAGATGTGTAGGCAATCACATCTTTGCTGCTTACCCAAGCAAGAAAAAAAGAACCTATCAGTCCTCCACAGGTGATTCCAATGCAGTTGGGGTGATTAGAATGATGAACATATTCTTCTATGCTCTCCCCCTCTGGCACTACAATTTCAGTGTTCAATCTTGGTTACGATTTTTGCTATTTTAAAACTCACCAGCACCCTGATACCAGTTCGGAACGTGAACACAAATACACACGCAGGAAAGATGGTCTGTCACTCATAATGCTTTCATGTGGACTGACTCGTGTGTTGCAAGGTTGTGAGCATTTTCAGTCCATGGGGAAAAATCACATGTCGATTTTCAACAGTGACAACAGTGAGGAGTTATGAGAGAAAGAAGAAACGGCTTCTATTGAAAAAGTCAAATAGGTTGATTTTCTCTACGTTCTACCCCAGCTGTATGGTCACAGCTGCCCTGGCCCATATCCTGGGGTTCTCATTCATCTACAGTACTTGCCGAACAAAGCAATGGATATAAGATTGGCCAGGCTGTCAATGAAACATATACGATACTCTCCGGGCCCACTCTGAGGGGTATCGTAAATAAAAGTGTGAAGCAATGCTATTTTTCCTGAATTGCCCTAAAGAAATGGAAAGAACAGATTTTTGAAGATGCCAAATTCACGGCGGTGAACTCTAAGTGAAATGCTAAGGTGTTCCATAGGAAACAGTATTTTCAGAGAGAGAATGGTGACCATTCAAAGTAACAATACTTTGAGGTGGTACCCCCCCCCAAATGGATTTTTCCCCTTGTAGCTATGTATTTCTACTTGCTACTCTCCAAAAAAACCCAAAAAACAGCTATATATTTAATTTTTTTTTTTTTTTACAAAACAACGACTCTCCATGACACTTAATACATTTGTCGAATCTGCGATTCCATTCTTGGAAACAGTCTTCAAACTCATATGTTTGGATGGCTAGCAGCACCTCCCTGGTGTTTTCTTCACGCATTCCACAGGATGGGTCCCCCTTACGATGGCGCATTGTACCAGCTTACAGGGTAGCCCAACGTAAAACTGCTAAGTCCCTAGTGTGAGGATTCCTCTTTAGCTTCATTGCTTTCCTTTTAACCTCACTCCCACAGCTTGTTTATAAAAAACAGTGGGGAAATCTCGGGTCAAAGACCTGGTTTTACCCGAAATAGTTGGCTGTTGTCCTTGGGTCTGGAGAAATACCCCTTGGGAGGCTGGCCACGTGCATAAAGGTGCCTTTGGGAGTCTAATGTCAATTAGGCTGATACCAGTCCCAAACCCAGAGGCAGAGAGAGCTTCCTGCCTGACCAGAACAGACTTTCTCAGGAGGGTAGGTGGTCCCTGCAGATATGGAAGTTTGAGGTTAGAAACTGTCCTAGACCTTTCCCTGTGTGTCTCTTCCTTTGTAGCCTTTTGGGCTGTAATAAATCTGTAGTCCTCCGGATGGTGTGATGTTAAGTTAAAATTATTGCTACTATGGTTCTAGTGTAGGCCTGCATGGGTTTATGTTTAAACGTGTATTTGAAATCAATTCACGACTGCAGGTAAGTTCTCTCGATAATACACTTGTTTTAATCTCATCCGAAAAAATTACATAAATACTGCCATTGAGTTGATTCTGATTCATAGCAACCTTTATCAGACAGTGTGGAACTGTGCCTGTAGATCTCTGAGAGCAGCCCTCGGGATATTGTGTACAAGGTGGGTGGGGGTAAAGCTCATGGGCAGCAGATCAAAACTGCCAGCAGCTCTACAGGAGAAAAACTGGGTTTTCTTCTCCTGGAAACACTTATAGTCTTGGAAACCCACAGGGCGTCACTGTGAGTCAGCATTGATTCCATGACGGTGAGATTGGTTTTGGTTCGGGTAACTTTATAGGAGTAAAAAGGCTCATCTTTCTCCCAAGAAGAGGCTTGTGATTTTGAACTGTTGATCTTATGATAAAACCGTAGCACAACAGCATCAGGATTCCTTAATCCTGACCAAGGGTCTTCAAATAAAGATCCAGTCAAGCAGTGGCTTCCAGGGGATCTGCGGGGCCAATTCAATTCAAGGCAGATAAATCAGCTCAGACAGTTATGATAACTATTTGGGGGCATTCCAGAGAGGAAAATTATCTATCTCTCTATCTATCATCTATATCTATCTATCTATCTATCTATCTATCTATCTATCTATCTATCTATCTATCTATCATCTATCTATCATCTATCTATCTATCTATCAATCATCTATCTATCATCTATCTATCTATCTATTTAGAATCAAAAGACACAGAATGAACAGAGGGCTTATTATGAAGATTTAAAACATTGAAAAATTGTCAGGAAGGTTCAGCCAAGGTATCTATCCCAAAAGCTAGCAAGAACTGCCCTACAAGAAAGTTGTTAGGAAACCTTATCTCGTCGACCCTACAAGCCTGCGTTTGCCCCTCTGTTTTCCTTTTTGGTTCCTGAAACTATGAGAGCAGGGAAAAGGGACACAATTTGAGCCCCTAGAGGATGTCAAAATAAACATTTGAATATGATGTGAATCAGAGAGCTCCGCTTTTTGGAGAAAGGCTATAGACATGGCCATGTGTAAACCTCGATGGAGGATGTGTTGAGCAGCAAGGGTTATACATTTTGGTATTTTTGTTTCACAACGGGCTCTGTGGGTTGTAGCCCCACTTCGTCACAGTCGTCCCAGTGATTTCTCCCAGCTAAAGGAGCAGCAGAAATGAATTTCCTTAGGATCTGATGTGGACTCTTAATGTTTTTAACTGACTTCCTGAAAGAGGAGTGAGACAGCAGCCCCAAAGTGATAGGTAGCAGGTCAGAAGATTGGGGTGTAGTGTGGACCCCTAACTTGAAAGCTGGCATCTCTTTGGCAGTCTGGAGGATGTTGTGTTTTTACCTTGTGAGCTCTGCCATCGCCCTGAGGGAGTGCTGAGGTTGTAGCTGGTGATAAGGATAGAGAAGTGGACACTGAGGGCTGGACCAGTGTGTACATTTTGTAGTTTGGACTCATATTGGTCTTTACTGCACAATTTTCATAAGAGTAAAGGAAACGTTGCATATATATATATATATATATTTATTTATTTATTTATTTATTTCAGTTGAGTGATGTCATTTTACTTATGTATAATATTAACTGGGGTTATTACATAATCAGATAATTCCTTATTTCAATCACGCCCAGCCCAAATTGTGCATTTGCTACCACAGTCAATTTCCAAACATTCTTTTCCTTTATGGACCCCTTGACATCACCCCTTTACCCCGCCACCGCCTCCTTGTCCCCCCTCACCCAAACCCTTATTCCACTTGCTGCCTCTATGGGTTCATAAGTCCTGTTTTTCATACCCCTTAAAACGGAAAACATATACCGCAACTTCAAGAGGCTGATCCCCAATGACATAAACCTTCCCAAGATACCCTCTAATATGTACAATAAAAAAACACACCGAACAATACAATTCCCCAAACATGATTTTGATAACCAGACCAGGTCCAGCATGCCCTAGGGGGATCTGCTGCCAAGCTTTAACTGTGCGACTCAGGCTTCTGCCTTTGACCTTCTCGACTCCACTGACGGATGCCCTCTGTGTAGTGACTTCTTTCCTTCTGTCCCTCCGTTGTGGACAGAGGGAGTTCGCTGGAGGTTTATTTCCTGTATTGTTCCACCAATGGATCTTGGGTTCCCACTGTCAAAATGTAGTTTTGAAAGTCATTTTTTTAAGTATAAAGCAAATTTTAGAATTAAAATGAATTCCAGCTAAGAAAGAAAAGATCATTATTCAGAGGAACTTTCCAAAGTGAAAAATAGTCCATGGTGGAGTACTTTAAACAATATCTAATATCTAATCTAAGTGACGTTAGTAACCTCTATTGTTCATGTAATTAAAAATCGCTGGAACTTTCTGTGTTTCTTCAGTATGGCTTTTAATTGTATCGTGATTTACTCTAGGTAGTAATAAAGAATGCTTGGGTTTTCTAAAAAGAGTATATATTTGAGAGCACAACTAATAGTAAATGATTTTGTCTTCAAAGTTAATATTGTTAAATTATTTGAGTCACTCCCTCAAACCAAAACCCAACTCCTTCCCGCCGAGTCAGTTCCAACTCATAAGGGCTGCAGAACAAGGAGCACTGCCCCTGTGGTCTTCCGTGACTGGAACCCGTTAGAGAGCAGAAAGGCTCGTTTTTCTCCCTTGGGTTTCCTACCGCTAACCTTGCCATAGGCAGCCCAATTTGTTCCCTGCGCCACAAGGGAATCCCCAGTCACTCCTTACCCGTGTTAAATGAGCATTAGCTATTTGACTTATTTTTAAAGCATTTTTATTTAAAACAGAAAGGTGGTTCACAATCACACGAGGCATGCATCGTGGCTAGGGCATGTGAGGGTCATTAATAGGAGACACTCAGATTGGTGGGGGGGTGGAGGATGGGTCGGTGAGTGGGGCACAGTTAGAGAGCCGCTGTAACAAAGACCACCCTGTTGAACAGAATCACGTTTGACAAACCAATCATTGCTTCCCTGTCCCTGCTTGCTGCTTTTCACAGGTTTAAGCCGCTGGCGGATACATTCCTGGGCAAGAAGAAGAAACTGTCAGCTGAGGAGAAATGTCGGCTTCTTCTAGAGCAGTGCAAATTACAAGGCTGGCAGGTTGGTAACTTACTACCGCCTAAAATATCAGTTTAGGATTTGAAGGGAGTGAGCTGAGTCATTGTGGGGAGCCACCAGCGTATTACTGGCAAAAACAGTTCTTTTGATGGGTTTGGCAAGGCTAGGCATTAAATGCACAAGTCTCTGTGATTTACTGGTTCGAGCAGTGGTCAGTCAACACAGGGAGGAACCCAGAGTCTCCTTTGCAGAGGTGATGAGAAGTTTGTGGAGCCTGTGGCGTCACTGTTAATTTATTATTTTTTAATAAAAATATCCCTGCAGTTAGTTCTAACAACAAAAATATTTTTCATAAGGCCAGGGTGCATGAATCAATATACCTACAAAGCTAAAAACTATGCTAATTTACTTTGGGAATCTTCTCATAGCCTCCAGTCAAAACTGTCATTATCACCCATTGACAATAATGCTTCTTCTTTTTTT